ATTTTTCGTGTCGACATCACTATTCAGTCTGATTTGTCAGAATCCGAGTCAGACCGACATTGATTCAGAGACATATCTTGAGTACAAATACATTTGTAACACATCTGATTTTTTGTGTACAAGAGAGTTTTAGGTTTTACTAAAAGCTTGCCAAGCTTGATTCTTGGATTTCTATATATAAATAATAAAATACTGACTATTACTCTTCCTCAGTTGTGAGATTAAAAATTTTATGGTGTCTTGCTAAAAATATGGCAAGCAATTGTTATTTTGCATCTCAGTTGAAAGTATTGTAATACTAATTTGTAAAGACTTAAATTTGGCATCGGAAAAGTTATATAATGGTCATTTTTTAATTTTTTTGAGAAATATGATGAAAATTGATTAAATGTGAAAGGAAGGATGTAGTAGTACATGACAAACACTGCTCAATGTATGGTCACATGTTCAGTTATCACATAGCTACAAAAATTCCCATATGTTACAGTAAAGTAATGAAAGGAGTTTTTGTGTAATAATTTTTGTCATAATTGGTTATTTCTAAATGTAACTTAAAAATTATAAATGCTAATTATAACTCATCTTTTAGCTATTGCCTGAAGCTCGGCTTCACACTTTTGAGCAACTTGCAAATGTCCAGTTCTTCCTAAACCATTTGTTGGGTCAACATTGTTCTTCACAAAATTCTTAACATTTAGATATTTTAAATTTCTAACACTTAAGATTAGCTAAAGCATCTTACAAAAAACTTTTGAAAGGAACTGAATTATTTAGTTGAACCTATTGTTGGTTGAAAATGTTGGCTCATATTTAGGATTGTAATATATATATTGAGCAATTTTTGATACTGTTTTTAATGATACAACCCATTTTTACCAGTGTTCTGTTTACCTACAAGACTTATATGACCAGTATAGCCCAATATGACTGGTATTGAGCACTGCATGACAAAATATAGTAAAAAAATTATAATATTTGTAATAATGAAGGTTACTTATCCAATTTTGTTTAAAGTAGGAATTACTTGGGTGTATTTCTCTGATGTTATTTGTGTTGTTTTTTATGACTAGAATATTTGTAATGTCAAAACTTGCTGAGTCTCTTGTTATTTATCCAAAACAGTATTATATATGTAGATAGAAAATGAATAAGCTTTGGCAATAAATATTTATTGATCACATTTTTCTCATTCTTTCATCCTGTATTACTTTATGATGTTACTCATTTCACTCTTTCTCACAAGAAACTTCACTGTCTATTAGTAGCCTCCACTGTTATTCCAGCATGATTCCTGGTTTTTGATAGCTGTTGAAGTCACTTTGTTTTTCCTCAGTGATGGTCTTTCTATCAAGCTATGTGCATCATCATGTACTTCAGATTCTGGCACCATTTAACACATTTTACACTTCAATGTCTTGGAGGCTTGATGCAACTTTTATCCTTTTTACTTCCTAGTTTAAAATTTTTTGAAGGTTTTTGAACAGAAAAATTTATTATGTTTGTAACAGTGCTTCTACAAAACAAAGGTTCCTGTTCTTCCTTAAACTTTTGTTTTAGCTTTCCAAGTTAAGAAGGACTTTTATGTGAATCTTCTCTTGAGTGTAGTTGTGAAGTTCTTTTGAATAATCTTGCTTGCCACTTGGTTAATTGTTAAGCTAGTTTCACTAGTGAACTCTTTATCAAATTCTTCCCTGTTCAAAATAGTTTAGAGGTGTTTCTACTCCTCCTGAGAAATTAACAGTTTTGCTTTTTACTTTCTTATTCAGATGTATAAGTTGTAATGTGATAATTTTTCTTTTCTTTTAAGCTGCATATTCTTTGGATACTTGCCTTGCAGACTCTTTCTACATTAAACAAGCTGTTTCTTTCTATTCACTAATTGCTGAATGTTCTGCATTCTCATGGACTTTTCAATTTGGCTTCTGTCAGATTAGTCTCAGATTACTAGGATATATGTAAATGGCAAGGCTTTTCTGTGTCATCCAGTTCCATTTTAAATTTGTCTTTACACAAGTCGCATATAATTTAAGGTATCCATCTTGTAGGTGTTTCTTCTGTTAATTGAGATGCTTTTTATTTTGTACACATTTTAAGAAACATGATGAGTGAGCTGAAATGGACGGCAACTGTTTGTTGTTAAAAACACAGGTTGTAGAGGACAGTGGTTCAAAAGTCTTCTGTCTTTCATCTTCAGGTAGACCTTAAGATAAAAGATGGAAGACTTTTGAAACATCGTCTTCTACACTTGTGTTTTTTACAACAGGCAGTTGCCATCCATTACAGTTTACACGTCATGAATACTCTGCCTAAACAATCTATAAAAAAATATTTTAAGAATCGTGTTTTTGATTTCATGTGGAGGTGCAAACTTATCTGAGTGTGTCTGAGATATTGATTCATTCCGTGGATTCCTTTTAGATTAAATTGATTTTATGTAATCCAACAGTTTAACAAGAGTTGGTTAGATTTTTTTCTCTCTGTTGTTAAGATTAGAAACAGTTCCAGCAACATGTATTAATTTTTTGGAGATGTGATAAGATTTTATGAAGATGCTGTTACTAAGAAAAGTGAATAGGTATGGAGACTGTTGTCTTTTATCCTCATCTTCCTTATTTTTATTGAGTCAAATGGATAATTGGTTTGTTTTTGTTTTGTTTTTTTATCTCGGCTTCATGGTGTAATTCAGTGAAGTGGATGGCTAGTGTGGACATTGTCATTTTTATATGAATTTCCTGGTTGTACTGAGTAAAGTGGATAGCTGGTGTGGACATTGTTTCTTTTATCTCGGCTTCATGGTGTAACTGAATTAAGGGGATAGTTAGTGTTTACAGCTTATCTGATCCTCCAGGTTTGACTGAATAAAGTTGTTTAACTGACATGATGCTACTGTCTTTTATCTCAGTTTCCTGGTTTAACTGATTAAATTGAGTAGCTGGTGTAAAGCTTGCTACTTATTTGTCACACTTGTCTGGTTTATTAATTGAATAAAGTGGTTAGCTGTTGTGGGTGCTGCTGTATTTTGTTTTCTCTGGTTTTACCGAGTAAATTAGAGAGCTGGTGTGGACATAACTATGTTTTAGCTCTCATTCCTTTAACTAAGATTTGAATTTATCATGTTTCCAGTGTTCTGAATTTAAGTGCGAGTCGGCATATCTGACTATAAGATAATTTTCTTTGCAGTTTCTTCAGTAGCTCTTTAGATGTCCAGATTGATAAACAGTTGACATTCTCTATGTCTTTCGAACTATAAATTTCTGTTCTCAAGATGCATTAGCACGACCTCTTTCTCTGTATGTAATCTTGTCTTTTCCTCATGTCACATGGAATCCATAGTTTCTGGGTTTATTTGCTAAATCACAAGTCTAAGTCTCTTTTTAAATCACCAGTTTACTACCCCATGTAAAACTGAACATCATGCCACCATTATGGCTGTATTACATAGAGAAGTATTTATAAATGAAACTTTAGAAAGACTAATCTTTCTATTGTTCATATTTAAAGTGAAGGTTTTACATATTTCTGAGTTCTACCCATTTTAGTTGAAGTGGGAGGGTATGTGTGTCACTATAACTTTGTAATGAACTAAATATAGATATGAAACACAAAAGTCACTTCCAATTGTGTTTTTTGAATGAAGATTATATTTTGTTCCAGGTGTTCTTTTTTGCATCAAACTTGCACCTCCTTTTCTATCTTGTGTATCCCGCCTCCCATTGGTAGAGGGTTTTTGAATTACTCTAGCAGCCATTCAGATTGGTGGATGGTTTTTGGACTACTATAGCAGTCATTGTGATTTCCTATGAAATATTTTTTTTTCCTTGTATAATACATAGATGTCACCTTCAAGGATCGATTGATTATCTTGTTAGCTCTTCAGTGCTTTTATCCTGAACACTATGAAGTCATTGGCACCTTTTGCATTTTTCGTTTCTTAGTAAGGGATAATTCTTGTTGCTGTTCAAGCTTTCTGATGTAATGTATTTTAGGTTCATTCTTAAAGATGCTTTTCTTATTTTTCCCTATTAGCTATATTTTTATTGTTGGTTTTTTTTTTCACACAGCTCAAGAAGATGTTAAAAAGGTTTTCCATTTCTCTTTTTGTTTTGTGTGTGTATTTGAGAAACTATGCAAGGTTTGACTTTGGTTGTTTTATTCCTATGTTTTGGAATGCACTTTATTTGTTCATCCTTTTTGGTCTTGCTTGTTTTTCTTAAGTTATTCCTATCATTTGGATTAAATTTCCAATTTTGTTCCATGTTTTTCAAAAATAATCTATTTCTGGTTGGTTGACTGAAGTCTTCCCAGTTATGTCACATGGAATCCATTCACTTATTTTCTTTGTATGCAAAAATATGAACTTTTTTGAGCAACTTGTATCTTTTTTTTTTTATACATTCATTATCATAGATTTTCAACATTTTCATTCTGTGCTTCCTGTGGTATTCTGCAGTTCAACTGTAGGTTTTATTCCTTATCACCAGTTTTTAACACCCTTCATTCCATTGAAATGTCATCTGTCTCGTATCTTTTTGAGATGTGGGCAGGTTTACTTGACCAAAACATTGTAGGTTGTTTCCCACACTGATTTTTTAAATGAAAACTAGGTTTTGTTTCCTTGTATACCTATCCACCCATGTTTGGTTTCAGGATTCTAGCTCAGTATGAAATCTATATTTTTAGAATTAAGATGGCATTCACTTATTTCCCCCAAGATAAATACATATTCTTCCTTCCTCTCCATTTTAAGTGCGTCAGAAATGAGCTATTACAATTCATGTTGTACTGCAAGTGTACGTAGAGATGGATAGATTGTGAGAAGGTTTGAAACAAATTGTGTCACAAGAAGGGTCAGGAAGAAAGTGTATGGGACTGATCAGTGACATAGCTTAATGTATATTTATAGATTTTTTAAAATTCATTTCAGTCAATGATTTTTTTTTTATATATTAAAGTGTATTTATTGTGTTCACATAGAGTAGCTTAGAATTGTTTTATTCCAGGTCAGCGAAGTGCATCAGGCAAACCACTTGCTGCTCCTAGTCCTTACTGTGACTTCTGTCTTGGAGATAGTAATGAAAACAAAAAAACCAGACTAGCAGAAGAACTGGTTTCTTGTGCTGATTGTGGTCGTTCAGGTAAGTTGATTTTGGTGTAAAATCTGCAGTTGGTAAGTTTGGAAAATTTTAGTATTCTAAACATAACTAGATGACAAGTGGTATTTCAAACAACTTTTTGTTTGGTTCAACCAGAATTCATTTGATCATTGAGATACATTTTTTGTTGACTTAAAAAACCAGATAACATTTGGTTTTTCAAGTACAATTTTTTTTTACTTAAGTAAGCCATATTTCAGTTGAATCAAGTTAACCCTTTCGCGACAGGCTCGGTATAAAATACACGAGTTTGTATAACATTTGTACATGTTAAGTATTTATACTATAAGTTTTAATACAGTATATGTATCTTCACAATATTCAGTAGACTTTTAGTAAACATTACAAGTCTTTTGTACACAAAAAATCTGATTTTTTAATGAAGTATTTTTACTAAAGATTTGTTTGTGAACATATCGAGTCTGTTTCGTTACTTGTCTGAGTGCAAAGTGGGTTTCATGCTATGATTAAAAAACTATTCTTTGTTCCAAAAAATCTCAAATATCATTTGTGTAATCTATAAAACTTCCTAAATACATTTCAAACATTTGTTTTCAGTAAAACTATATTTTATCTGTTATTTTCTCTACTCTAACTCTATATACGGGGTTGGTCAATTTGACCAACCTCGTAACCACCATAAAAATTTCGGAAATAAATATAAATTATGCTTTTTTTCTTTCTAGAATGACTGCGAATTATAACACGAAAATACAAATGTTTAGTCTAAATAGGTTAAATCTCATAAAATAAAACATTTATATATATATATTTATCATTTTTATTATAGTAACCTTCCAGTCATGCCTGGCTAATATTACAGAAGCTGCAATCACATGGTGCACATGCACTCATGTTACCGTATTCAAGAATATAAAACTGGTATTTAGAAAGTGACCTGTCATGGCTGTTTTGTAGTGGACTAGTATTTTGTAAAATAGTCACATTTCAGTTATAATACATTAATACTATGTACAAATAAGCTCTTAAACTTATTTTTCTTAAAACATAGAACAGTAAATAAAGAAGTATAGCAAACAATTATCTCTTTTAGTTACGAACTTTGTACTTGGTTGCTGCTTGCTGTAGGTTGCTAAGCTGATATCAAATTATTCACATGGAGGACGTGAAACAAAATAATTTTTTTAAAATTTTATATATACATTTTGAAATAACCAAAAATCATAAATTACTATATCAATACCATAGGGTTCCACTACAATTTACCAAGTTTAATAACTATACTGTATTTGGATCTAGAAAAATATGAAATTTCTGGCTCACTAAAGTCTTACCTCACTGCTTGAAATCTTGCATAAAAAGAAATAATTTGCTGACCTAATACTTCAAAGACACTGATGAAGCCACAAGGGGGACATTTTGAGCTTTCGATTGGTTATTCATACATCATAGACAGAAGTATGTGTAAATAAGCAAGTGTTTCCAAAAATGGAGAGTTAGGCAAGGCCACTGTGTTTGATTCAGTAAATGTAGCAATATCTCAGAAAATAGAAAATATAGGAGGTTCTTATTTTATATTCTAGCTTGTCAGTATTGGTAATTTGAGTTCCTAATTCACAAGAAACTATAGACTTTGTATTTGGTCATCACAAAAATCTAATTTGAATCAATACTGCATTCAACATACCACATGACACACAAAATTCGATATTTAGGTGTTTTTTATATTTACATTTAAATTAAGAAATTAACTAATGTATAATACTAAAATCTGAATTATAATCTACAATTTGATACCAAACTTGTTGACATAAATTCATAAAATGTAGTTCAATGAGATTTCAAATGCGAGTAAACAAACGTGATGACATGGCCTTTGACCCGTGACCCATGTTGATAGGGGTAAGTAGTACTTTATGCTATCTACAAGTATAAAGATTAACAGCTTTATAAGCACAAATTAAGTTACAAAGAACAAACAAAAATATGAAGTTGATTATCCCAACTAGTTTTGACATACTGTACGTCATTTTCAAGGGTATACTGCATGTTTGTGTGAACAATGAAATCTTGCATATGTTATTTTGTAAGTCTGATTTCTTCATACATATTCCTTGTAAAAATATTTTCCATAATGGATTAATTTGAAAGCCCATATCATTGTTTATGAGTCTGTCTACATTCTTGTATATTTCAATAGCTTCTATAATATTTCTTTGGGGAAAATATTTAGGTTCTTCAGTGAATTTTGTTTCTGTGAATTTGATTATGTGACCATTTTGTTATACACAAGTGACAATGGTTAATTTTTTTATTTCCAAATGGTGGCAATGAGTTTTATGTTCTTTTATATTTACATTTAACAACCATTTAGCTTGATCTATATATACTTTGTTGCATGAGCATTGGATCGAATATATTTCTTGTTTATGGAAACTGTTGATGGGGTCTTTCCCTTTATTTAGTTTACTTGAAATTTTTCCAATAGGTTTGATTTAGTTGTTATTCAATAATGTAACTATTTTATTTGAGATTTTCAGGTAATAATGTAAAAATGTAGGTGGGTTTGATTTTGTTTCTTTCACATTATTTCCTTGGCTTTGTTTATAAAACTTTTTTTGATTTTGTAAAACAACCTGTTGATTAAATTGGTATCAAATCCTTGTGATACAACAACATTTCAGCAAGCTTTAAATATTATTAAGAAACCTGTATCACAGATGCTTTATAATTTAAAGTATAGTAAGAACCAAGTTCTGAAGAAGATATATTTATTGCTAATTCTGTGTGAAGATGAGGATTCAAAATAAAATATTCTAACTTCCCTTTGTTGTGTAATTAAGCATGACAGTTCCATCGTTAGCAGTGGGTTATTGTAATGCCAATAGGTGTACTTAGAACTTACATTTCCAATATGCTGTGCCTTGGATATCTTTTACTATACTTGTGGTTTAATTAGTGAAAAAATTTTAGACACATGCTTTTATTTATTAATGGTGATTGAATAATAAAAATAATAAGCTGTTGTTACCTTGTTTCTCAAAACTTTTGTCAACAGTATTAGGTTGAATCTGTATGTGTATGTGTTTACTGTTTCATGTTAATTGTTTGTGGCAAAGAAATGTTATGGTTTCATTGTTAATGTATAGTTAGAAATATCAAACATTTATTAATGTCTCCACATAGGGAACATTCTTCCTGAAAATTTGTAAATTGCTAATGATGAAGAAGTACTAGAATAATTGTAACTCCAAGATGCTAGACTTGCCGATCATAGAAAAATTGCTTGCTGTGTTTAACTTTGTTTAGCCATGCAATGTGGAATTTAATGTGTTTTAGTAATTATTGAAAAGGAATCTCCTAAGAAACACTACTAAACTAATCAGTTTAAGAATGTGCCGTTCCCCTGACCAAAAATCCTAGTGATACCACTGCAGACACTTCTTGTTAGGAAAGAAAATCTTAAAGGTGTGAAACAAGATATATTAATAACGTGTTATTTACACTTGAATTATTATTGTATTTTAATCTATCTCAAAGACTGCTGATTTTAGTAAGTTCAAAGTAGACTGTGAATCTGAGGGGCCATGGTTTGTCTCCCAATTTTGCAAAATCACATTCGTTACTTTGGGGGTGTGTGTGTGCTCTATAAGAATGATGGTCAAACAAGAGTTGGCAGTTGGTGATATTGACTAGCTGCATACTTTCTAGTCTGTCAATTCAAAATTAGGAATGGTTAGCGCAAATATCCCTTCTGTAGCTTTGTGATAAGATAGAAAAGAAACACACCAACTAAACACCTGGATAATCAGACCACACAGCCCAACTAGAGATGATTTTTTCCTCAAATTTTTTTTAAAAAGTAAAGTTCAAACTAGCTGCCTAATCATTATTTTAAAGTATTAAATAACACATGTTTAAGAATATTTTAACTCTTATTCCTTAATTACAATTATTACCTCTGTGTTATAATTTTTTTAATATGTATTATTTTCATGCTCTCATTTGTATATGTGTGTGTTATTATTGGATTCCAATACGGTATATTACCTTCATTCACACGGATAGCTATTCTCATTCAGTCCTGTCTCCTATATCCAAAAATTTTTTTTTTGCATGCCACAAGCCTTGAACTCCCATGGAAGCCACATTCACCATGGTTCAACTGCATTTTGCATTGTAAATCATCATGCAATAACCCTCCACCTGATGCATGTGACTTCCTCTATTCAATTCTAGTGAACTATCACATCTTGTTAGGTAGTGATCGAGTGCAGACGTTTATCAATTGTACTCTTTTCACATGTTCATTTAACTTTTTTTTTCTTAAATTAGTGATTTACTTGATTTATTCATTTACTGCAGTTAGTTTTCTGTAGTAGTTTGCCACAATAACTTTTTTTATTGATTTTTTTTCTCATTTTTTGACTTCACAGTTTATGATGAATTCCAAAGTTTACAACTTCTGATATTTTTACCACTACTTTGAGTGCCATTACACAAGGGTCTCAACTAAGGATTTTTCAGTTATCATTCTTTGGGAGATTGATCGTTATACGTGTCATCCTTCTCCCGAAAATGTTCATGACAAGGAGGAATTTGACAGCCTTTTTCTCCTCCTAACTATACTGCCTTCCCATGCCTCTCCTACAGAATCTACTAGGCCTAACTCTGCTTTTATGGATACGCTTTCTCAGGTGTCTTCCATTTTCTCATTTTTACCAATTTAATATGACACTGTCCCTTCCTTGTTACATGACACCTGTCCATAGAACACCTTATTTTCCTTCCTTTCTCTGAGGACTGGTGTTAGCATGCCTCATCCTCCATGGACTTATGATCATTGCTTTGGCTTATCAGCTGTATGATCAACCCTTTGTTGACTGATCAACATGTTTATAATGGTCATTTAACTCTTAATGAAGGAAAGTCCACTTTTTGAAAAGGTTCATATTATTAGTTTTTTTTCTGTATCATGATATTAGTGTATGATATACATGCTCAATGTTCCATTTCATTGTAAGCTTATGAGTAGAGAAAGAAATGCTGTATTGACTTCTTAACGAATAAACTAATTTGAATGATTCAGCACCAATCAGTTTGTTCAATGGGATTGATTGGAGATTAAATATAATGACTGGTTTATCTGCATGAGATAGGCTCAGATGGAAATCTACTAAAAATGGAATGGATTAACTTAAGGCTTATTATCAAATGAGATCATATGGTGATATATGAATCTATGAGTGAGGTGTTAAACCTCAAATAATTTCATATTGATTTTGTGGGTTGTTGATTTTTGTTGCTAGTAATTCTGTCTATTTCTGACTTCTATCTACACATCTACTATGTGTGTATCTATATAGACAAAAAATATTTTGTATTTTGTGAATGATCTAAATGTGCTTTTATTATTATTTTGTTTAAGAGAATCATAGACAAGCTGTAATTTCAACAACACTTAACAGCACAACTTTGCACACAATAAATAAATCTAGTAAATCAGTATACAAATATGTTTTCTTCAAAAGAATGTGTGTAATCTCCAGTAATAGACTGTTTTGGGATAGGCCTGAGTGTAGTCTGGTAGTTAGAATATTGGACTGGGTCCCTGAAGTTCTTGGGTTTAAAATGTGGGTGCATATAAGAGTGATAGTCAATTTTACTGTTTGGTTAAAAGTAACAATGGTGCTTCCAATAGTTACCTTCACTCTCTTCAGTTCAAAATCAGGGACGACAAAACCTGAATCATAGGAGGTCTGACCATTTTACCCATTGTTTGCATAAAATGTCATTCAGATGAAAAAACATTGTTTTGGAACAAGTATGGTAATTTCATTTCAATTACTTCAGGTTTTTAAACTATACACCTGGAAAAAAGTTAAGCACCCCCGTGTTTTTTTCAAGTGATTCAGATTCGACGTTCTTGTG